ATCACAAACACTCTTTTCCAACAACACAAGAGGCGACTCTATACATGGAAATCACCAGATGGGCAATATCGAAATCAGATTGATTATATTCTCTGCAGCCAAAGATGGAAAAGCTCAATGCAGTCAGCAAAAACAAGACCTGGGGCTGACTGTCATAGCAAAATTCAAGCTTAAACTGAAGAGAGTAGGAAAAACCACTAGGCTACTCAGGTATAATCTAAGCCATATCCCTTATGAATGCACAGTGGAAGTAAAGAACAGATTTAAGGAACTCGATTTGGTGGACAGAGTGCCTGAAGAACTATGGATGGAGGCTCATAACACTGTACAGGAGGCAGCAACAAAAAACCATCCCAAAGAAAAGGAAATGTAAGAAAACAAAGTGACTGTCCAACGAGGCCTTAGAAATAGCAGAGAGGAGAAGTGAAACAAAATGTGGGGTTCCACAGGGGTCGACGATCTCCCCAATGCTGTTTAACATCTATATGAGGCCGTTGGGCGGGGTCATCAGGGGATGTGGAGCATCGTGTCATCAATATGCTGATGACACCCAGCTCTACATCTCCTTTTCACCAACTGTAGGTGATGCCGTCCTGTCCCTCCAGCACTGCCTGGAGACTGTACTGCGATGGATGCAGGAGAACGGGCTGAGGCTGAACCCGGACAAGACGGAAGTTTTGAGGGTGGGCGCCCCTGTGGCTCGTGGCTTGGGTGGCTCTCTCTCATTTGGGGGGGTGACCCTGGTCGCGAAGAGTGGGGTCCGCAGCCTGGGGGTACACCTGGACCCAACGCCATGGAAACACAGGTGGCGTCGGTAGTCCATACCACCTTTTTCCATCTTTGGCGGATCGCCCGGCTGTGGCCTTACTTAGACTTAGTACCTGCGCTTGTAATCTCTAGATTAGACCACTGCAATGCGCTCTACGTGGGGCTGCCTTTGAAGCTGACGCGGAAACTTCAGGTGGTGCAGAACGCAGCAGCCAGACTCCTTACTTGAGTGAGGAAATATCAACATATCTCTCCTACTCTGGCCAGGCTGCACTGGCTGCCCATCCGTTTCCGCGCTGACTTCAAAAATGTTAATGCTTACATATAAGGCCCTAAACGGTTTAGGACCTCGATACTTGGCGGAACGCCTACTCCCACCTAGATCTACCCGGATCACCCGCATAAGCCAACAGGTGAGGCTGAGGAGCCTAACGCTGAGGGAGGCCCAGATGGAAAGGACACGAAATTGGGCCTTCTCGGCGGTGGCTCCTCGCCTCTGGAATAACTTTCCTCCGGCGATTCATGCGGCCCCCACGGTGGGCACTTTCAAGAGTCAGTTTAAAACATGGTTATATGTTCAGGCCTTCCCTCCAGTCAATACTTAATTCTTTTTTCCTTTTCCTTCTCCTTTTCTTTCCTTATTTGCTTATTATTGGATGTGCTCTGATTGTCTGTAATTTTTATGTTTTATTTTAAATATTTATTGGAAGCCGCCCAGAGTGGTCGACCAGACCAGATGGGCGGGATACAAATCAAAAATAAATAAATAAATAAAGTAGCGATGGGACATTTATTTAAGCACAAAACTTTAAAAAACACAAATGAGGTTTGTTTGTTTTTCATTTCCATCTTCTTTTACTCTCAAAGTGGAGCTCTCGATGGGACATTTATTTAAGCACAAAATTTTAAAAAACACAAATGAGGTTTGTTTGTTTTTCATTTCCATCTTCTTTTACTCTCAAAGTGGAGCTCTGAAATACAAATAATTCATTTACAAAAAAGGGACAAAAAAGGGTATACACAAGTTTCACATTATTTCATGTTCCCCTCTTTTGTTTAATTGTCCATTCACCCTTTGCTTGTCAAATTACACAGGAATGTTTTTTACACAATGGTATCATGAGAACTGCTGTCAGGAGTCAGTCAGAATATCTAGGAGTCAGGAAAGTGGGAATTTTGAACCTGTAAAATGGCCTGGAATCCAATGAGAGAAATGTGTATGCTTTGCTTCAGTCATTCTTGTGGGAATCTATGTGCTGCCTTCCAATCCCTTTGTCTTGTCTTGTGCTGCCCGGCTGATGTAGTCAGAACAGAAGGCATCCTTGAGAGAAGAATGAGAAATCTCCCCATACTTTGATATTTTTGATTGCGGGAATAGATTTTTTTTCTCTCTTTTATTTGCCTGCTTGCTTTTCTTGGTTTTTCGGGGGGGACTTGTGCATTTTTTTTATTTTGCTGTTTTTTCCCTGTGTGAGGTGGAGATGTTTCTCTACTAGACTGCTTTTTTAAAAAATGCTATTTGGTTAATTTGCTGTGTATTTATACTGCTAAAGGTATATCTTTTGGTTGCTTGCTTGATGATTTTTCTTTTTCATGTACTGTTGCCTGCTTTTTGAGTAGACCGATTCTGTGCTGCCTTGGCTCTCTGCTTCTTGGAGTAGTTTCTAGGGCAGCGATGGCGAACCCATGGCACGTGCGCCACAGCTGGCATGCAGAACCCTCTCTGTGAGCGTGCGAGCCATAAGTTGCTGGATCGCTGTCCCTGGCAGTCAAACCTGAGGAGGCAGCTGCAGCCATGGTGCTAGCACACCACAGCTGGCGTGCAGAACCCTCTCTGTGAGCATACGAGCCATAAGTTGCTGGATCGCTGTCCCTGGCAGTCAAACCTGAGGAGGCAGCTGCAGCCATGGTGCTAGCACCCAGACAGGTGGTGGGCCAGGATCTGGAGCAACTGGCGCTGGCGGCGGCAGGCTGGCCAATTTATAGGCAGTGGTGGGGTTGGGCATAATTGGTGGCGGATTTGGAGTGGGGTCCGGAGGCATCTCCATGCCCAGGATTCCTCCTTCCACCGCCACTTCTGCTTCTGCCGCTGCCACCTGCTGGGTTGTGGGTTTTTTTTCTTTTCATTTTGGGCATTGGGGTCCAAAAGGTTTGCCATCACTGTCCTAGGGGTTGTTCAGGACATTTGCACTGATTCCTTGTTCCTGTAACCCCTGCTTTTTTAGATTCCTTTTTAAAGGGCTTTTGAATTAATTTTCCACTATCTACCTTGTCACTGCTTTTTGGAGTAGTTTTCAGAAGTTCTTTGGGCATTTGGACTACTAGTGCCAGGAAACATGAATGGGTACAAAGAAAGGGAGATGACCCAAGAGAACTGCTGCCTTTCATGTTTAATGAAAAGTTCCAGTGCATGGAAAAAACCAAAAATGACGTACCTCCCCTCAAAATAAAGAAGATGTACTTTTTTTTGTAAAAGGTTTTCACCTTGCACATAGCTTTTGAGAAGAGGAGCAATTCTGAAGGACCTTTATAAATAAGTTATTTTTAGTAAAGCGGGCCCTATCTGAATTTGTTATTGTATAAGGAATTAAATTTTGCCTTCTACTCAGAAAAATTAACATCTGGCACTTTAAATATATTGAGAAAAGAATGTTATATTCGAAAATCATATTTAACACAGTAGACAATGTAATGTGCCAAGTTCAATATGACTTCTTTATGACTTTGATTTCGCGTAGCAAATTCTCTTTTATATTCAAAACATTTTAACTTTTGTTTTATAGTGTGCCTTGGTTTATGATTGTGCATCTCCGGAAAACATCACTAATAAAGAGAGTTTTCTTTTATTAAATGCAGGTATGTGTGCTAAAGTTATGATTGTAGCAGTAATTAATGTTTAATGCTACGTTACTTATATGTAATTGGGAAGAACTGACTTCATACTTGTATGATTTCTTGATTTCTATAAGAATCCTTTTTATGATCTGCTGTTTTTCACTGGCAATTTAAATAATGCTGGCATAAATTAGCTACAGTTTACAAGAGCATTATCCAGTCTCAGGGCGTCTTACCTCTGACAAAGTTAAACAAATTGTTTTTATATTGCCTTGTAATCATTTTTGCTAAGGCAATTAACAAAGAAGGACAGGAGAGTTAAAATAGAAATACAAAGGCCATGAGATCACCAAAACAACACAAGCCGGCAAGATTCAAAACGGGTTTATAATGCTTCAGAAAATAAAGTTTTGTTTTTTGGTTGTTATTATTGGTGGTGGGTTCTGGATTTTATTTTATTTTATTTATTTATTTGCAAGGCAGCATAAAGATGGTGGGTGCCATTCATGCCCATCAGGGGAAGTGTTCAAAAACTGATTGTAAAGACCCTCCCTCTGGTAGCCATTGACCTCTCCTAAACAGCGGAGGCATCTTCCAGAAACATTGTGTAGATTATCTTAATGCATATTGGAGTGGGCAATATCAAATATCCCTCCTCTTTGATGCTACCCTCAACCCTGCTAAGATGGCCCACCTTTGAGGTAGATACATACAGAAACTGGCAGCCCTCTGGACATGCTTGTCCTAAACCATGAAGAATTTCATAGATCAAAATATGTGGAATGGGCTAAAAATATATGGAGAGCCAATACAGTTCACGTAACACAGATGTAATATGATAGTGAAAGTGTTCTGCACTAGCAGCTGCATTGCAGCACTTTAGAAAGACGGTCCCACATATAGAATAATACAAACGTTTGACCTTGAGCCTATTGGAGTATGGATAATAGAGGCTAGGTTGTCACTATTTAGATATAGTTACAGCTCATGAGGGGTTACAACCCTGCTTAGCACAGAATGTATACCATTCAGTGGAGAAAAACTAAATGGTTGTTGTTTAGTCGTTAAGTTGTGGGAAAAACTAAATGGTTGTTGTTTAGTCATTAAGTCGTATCCAACTCTTGATGACCCCATGGACCAGAGCACACCAGGCCCTTCAGTCTTCCATTGCCTCGCGGAGTTTGGAAAACAAGCTTCATCCTATTTGGAATGTGATTCAGTTTATTGACCCTCATCTAGGCCATTAATAAACTGAATTTACCCTGAGTGCTCACTGGAAGGACAGATCCTGAAGTTGAGGCTCCAATACTTTGGCTGTCTCATGAGAAGAGAAGACTCCCTGGAAAAGACCCTGATGTTGGGAAAGTGTAAGGGCAAGAGGAGAAGGGGACGACAGAGGGCGAGATGGTTGGACAGTGTCACTGAAGCGACCAACATGAATTTGACCAAACTCCAGGATGCAGTGGAAGACGGGAGAGCCTGGCGTGCTCTGGTCCCTGGGGTCATTAAGAGTCGGATACGACTTGATGACTAAACAATTAAAAAGCCCATTAATGTGGTCATAATTAAGGATGACTAAACAACAAAAAAGCCCATTAATGTGGTCATAATTAAGATAATTCCAACAGTTAACTCAGATATCTTATGTAATTAATCATTTTGTCCAGATGGTGTGATGTATGCATTTCCCATCTGCTATTCTTCTCCAGTAAAGCATGTCTGTATTTGCATCGAAGAACACTTATAGTACTGTATTTTAATACAAAACAGCAGTATATAGATAGATGTAGTAGCTGCCAGAGACACATATATGCACACAAAAACATTGTGTTTCTGTCTGTAGTCAGCATTCCTATAGTAGTATATAGGTAGATGTAGCAGCTGCCAGAGACACATATATGCACATAAAAGCATTGTGTTTCTGTCTGTAGTCAGCATTCCAGAAACCAGGATCCAGTGCAGTTGTTCAAGTGATGGAACTGCTTCCTTCAATTGAATCTTCAGGGAGGTTTTCTCTCTTCCTCCTTTTTGTCCCCCTCTGCCTCTTCAAAATGTGCTCCAGAAGATTAAAGAATGCACTGGCACAGATCTTGGGGAACTGCAGAAGACTGCAAGGAGGAAACCAAAAAAGATGCATTGCACTAGACCACTTGAGTCTCAGCAAGTGTTGTTAGCTTTTAATTGTGTTCTTGGCAGTTTTGGAAATACAACCAGGGCTGGGGAAACTTCCCTTATGGATTGTGAAATCCCTAAAGTCTTTTTTTGAACCTCAGAACAGAGGTAGTGGATTCATTGGAATGTACTCCAGGTGTACAGAACATGGAGGCATGCTGACAGTCTTGTCACTTCACTCCTTTCCCACAAAATCATCTTTTTTCTCAGGCTTCTTTTTACAGTGGTCTCCGTATCAAGCATATTGATGAAACTGAAAAAGAATAAATTATGTTTCTTTTTTCAGACTTTTCTCTGAAACAGAATATAACTTACTATCTCAATATGTTTACAAGTTATTATTAAAATAAAATGCAAACAAATGAAATAGCTGATGTCGAATATATCTCATAGCTGTGAGATACAGCAGTATACAATGTGTACAATTACTTTTCTCAGACATCGGAAGAGAGATACTGTTTTCATTGGAATTCTACTACTCCGGGAGTGTGGAGCAGTACAAAAAATTTTCAGGAACATTTTGAAGAACTGAAATTACAACTTGAAATCTTTTATGCATTTTGACAAATTGGTACCTTCCAAAGAACTTGAGTTAGATGTTACATAAAGCAATTTCTTGTACTGTACTTGTCAAAACAGCAGCCTTGAAAGGAATAGGAAACAACAGTGAACTCTGCCACTGCTTTAAGTCCACTAGCTGTACGGATCCTACAACTATCTGCAATTTGATGTAGTTCTGAAGCTCCTTGTATTGGCTATTGTAGAATAAAAAGGCAGAATCTGGGTTTTTAAGTATGGAAGGATATTTGTGTATGTTATGTACTTTATATTTATAGGTCTGGTTTCAGCAAATAACATATAGCAATGCTTGATGCATATTTGATCCTTGATATCAGGTTAGGCAACCTATTGCCCTCCAGACTAAAACACACATAATTGCCAGTTGTTGGTGATGTTGATGGGGATTGTAGTGCAGAACATCTGGAGACAAGAAGGACACTGTCCCTGCTCCTGTGTTCAACCTTTTCCAGAAAGTTGTGCCTTCTCACGATGTGCTCAAAGTATGACAGCATCAGTCTCATAATTTTTGCTTCCAGAGAAAGTTCAGGCTTGATTTGATCTTCCTTTCTTTTTTTTAAAAAAAGAAGATCTAGGACCACTTGTTTGTCTTTCTGATGGCCCAGGGTATCTGCAAAGCTCTCCATATTTCAAATGAATCACCACATTTAAAATGAATCAATAGTTTTCCTATTGCTGTGTCCCAGAATTGATCGGTCAAACAGTGCAATAAATTTGGTTATGCTGCACATTAATTCAGTGTTACCCTTGTTTCTTCTTGCAACATGCTGATCTCTTGGCCTCAACCCAACAAATCATTTCAATATGGAAGCATACTGGTGCTACCAACTTTTTAGTTTATTCCACTCTCTTTCAGGAATGTATTATAGTTAAATATTGTTCTGCAATGTATGAAAAAGCATGTCAAAGTGGGAAGGTTTTTCATAGATTGAAATAATATTCTCCTGATATTAATGACATATTCTGCTCCTGTCTTAAAGGTAAATTGTATTGGAGTTGATTAAACATGTATTCAAGTGCAACCAGTACAGTTGATTTCATTGCCACTTGCAGAGTGGATCTGATATAAATTTTTAAAATTAGATTTTTAAATTTTTATTATTTTATTTTTTTATTTATTTAAATTATGACTTAAGAGAATTTTATTTTTAAAAAGCATTGATTTTTATCTACCCTGGCCATCCATCCATATGTAAATCCAGTATAAGATTGCTATTCATAGCACACGGTCATAATGGTATCAGCTGTTTGTTGAGATTTTGCTGTTTGTTTTTCAGTTAAATTTCTTTTGTTTCTAGGAATCTATGCCAATAATCCTGCGTTTTTAATCTTATTGCAACTGAAGTGATAAATCTAGCGTTTACTGTACTAAGTAGAATTTAATTGTTTTCTGTTTGGTTACCATAACCTAAGGGTCCCTGCCTTTAATTTATTGAAATACAAATAGCAAATTAACAGCAGAAGGAATTTATTTATGATCTTTTAATTTTGAAACAGGGACACAGAGAAAGAAATAACTTGAGTAATAAACCACAGTGTTAAGTTTTTAACAAAGATATAGCATCAATTAAGCAATCCCATCTTTTTTCCCCTTTTGCAGTGTTAAAAAACCCAATCTGTAGGTTGTATAGATTCCCCACTACTGACAACAAGTGGATGTGTGTACGAGAACAGATGTCTGAGAGCACTCTTTCTTTTCATATTCCCAAGGAACTCATCAACCTGCACATAAAGGAGGATATGAGAAGGTAAGGGAAACAATATGAAAAAGTGAATGTGAGATATAAAATAACATCAGTAATAGAAGGTGACCAGAACTCCTGAATTTATTGATAGGAATTAAGTTGCTCAGTTTCTTGCTGTCAGGGATGAGCCAAAAGCAGGTTTCAAGGGTGAGCTGGAAATTAGAAACCAGTATTTAAGCCAAAGCTGATGGACAAAGCCAGGAGCAAAGTGATGCACGAAGACATGATGAAGACCTTGTTTTTCATGCAAGCTCCCAAACAAAATACAAAGTGTCCTCTAGCCTTTGATTTTATTAAGTAGTTTCATTTATATTGGCAGTTGACTCTGTTTCCTACTTTATCCTCACAACAACCCAGTGAGGTAAGGCTAAGAGAGTCCAAAGTCAGCCAGTGAATTTCATGAACTTAAGGTGCGTAGAATTGTCTTTCTTCACTTCTGTAGACAATGGATGTCAGTCACTAGTGGATCCTCTGTCACCTTTGGTAGAAGCACTTGGCCTCTGCTTGGACTGGAATAATTGGTTGGCAATTGACTGTCTGTCAGAGCTGTAACTCCATGACTATGAAACACAGACGTCTGAAATCTGACATATGTGTTAAAAGGACCTTATCTATTTGAACCTTTGAGAACCTTTGACTTTTTAAAAATATTTATTAATTTACATTAATAGAATTACATATGTAGACAGAGTAGACATGTTCTAGATGGGTGGTATATAAGTCAACTAAATAAATAAATATTTAAATATGTTTGTGTATTGAAGCTTGAGGCACCAGTTTCAATTACTAGGTGGCAGACTTCCCTAAACAGCACATAGGCTTGCAGTTACTGGAGTTTAAACTAAGAAACAGGGTTAAGGAGCTTCCTCTCTCACTCATCTGTAGAAGAGTCTGCCATGGGTTTGTAGGCATACACCATGGCATAGGGCAGTTTTAGGGCTCTCATTGAAATACCATGGGCTCAGTGTTTCCTGTTCTGACAGCTGCTGGTTGGTTGGTTGGTTGGTTGGTTGGTTGGTTGGTTGGTTGGTTGGTTGGTTGGTTGGTTGGTTGGTTTGAAAACTTTGATCTGTTCATCTGAAGGTTTTGCTGCCCTTTTACTTTGCAGAGACAGGCACTGTTTGCAAGTCTATAATTATGGTGATCTGAATGTCATAGATTTTATTGAAGTTATGTAAATGGTGGAACAGCAGTAGATATTTGTGACAGATAGCTAGTAATAGTAAGCATATTAGCAAAATGAAACTATTTCACCAGTCTAATTACATTGTATCTGCCAATTAGATTTCCAAGCCTTATTGCAAGCCATTGGTCAGAAGTAAGGGTTCCTGGTTGTCATCAGAAATCATGCCACAGGCTTACCCTATGCAAAATAAAATAAAGTGGATTTTGTTTTTAAAAATGAAGCAAATAA